AAGCTGTATTACAAAGCCACTGTTCTCAAAACTGCTTGGTACTGGCACAAGAACAGACATATAGATCAATGGAATAGAATAGAGAACCCAGAAATCGACCCAAACCACTATGCCCAATTAATATTCGACAAAGGATGCAAGAGCATACAATGGAGTCAAGACAGTCTCTTTAATAAATGGTGTTGGGAAAATTGGACAGATACATGCAAAGATGAAACTAGACTACCAACTCACACCATACACAAAAATAAACTCAAAATGGATAAAGGACTTAAGCGTAAGACGGGAAACCATAAAAATACTAGAGGAATCCCCAGGCAGCGAAATCGCAAACATATTCCAAAAGAATTTCTTCTCTGATACTGCTCCTAGGGCAATGGAAACTAAAGAGAAAATAAACAAATGGAACTACATCAAAATAAAAAGCTTTTGCACAGCAAAGGAAACCATCAACAAAACAACAAGAAAGCCCACTGCAAGGGAGAACATATTTGCCAATGATATCACTGATAAGCGTATAATCTCCAACATTTACAGGGAGCTCATACAACTTAACAAAAGGAAGATAAACAATCCAATCAAAAAATGGGCAAAGGACCTAAATAGACACTTTTTAAAAGAGGACATACAGAAGGCCGAAAGACATATGAAAACATGCTCAAAGTCACTAACTACACGAGAGATACAAATCAAAACCACAATGCAGTATCATCTCACCCCTGTCAGAATGGCTATCATCAACAAACAACAAGTGCTGGAGAGGATGTGGAGAAGAGGGAACCCTTCTGCACTGCTGGTGGGAATGCAGACTGGTGCAGTCACTGTGGAGAACAGTATGGAGTTTCCTCAAAAAACTAAAAATGGAACTCCCATTTGACCCAGTGATCTCACTTCTTGGAATATATCCCAAGAAACTAGAAACACCAATCAGAAAGGATATATGCATCCCTATGTTCATAGCAGCACAATTCACCATTGCTAAGATTTGGAAACAGCCTAAGTGCCCATCAGCAGATGAGTGGATTAAAAAACAGTGGTACATCTACACAATGGAATACTACACTGCAGTAAAAAAGGAGGAATTCTTGCCATTTGCAACAGCATGGATGGAACTGGAGAGTATTATGCTAAGTGAAATAAGCTAGTCAGAGAAAGATGAATACCACATGATCTCACTCATTTGTGGAATATAGAGAACAACATAGACTGATGAACAGGGACACTTCCAAAGACAGAGAAACAGCGATCAGACTATCAATCCCCAGAGGGAAAGTAGGGGAGGGTGGGGGTAAGGGGAAGAGATCAACCAAAGTATTTGTATGCATGCATATAAGCCAAACCCAATGGACACGGACAACAGGGGGATGAGAGCATGAGGGGGGGAGGGAGGGAAGGGGGGGTTAAAAGGGGGATGAGGACACATTCGTAATACCTTAACCAATAAAGAAATTTTAAAAAAATAAAGTTAACAATTCTGAAAAAAAAGAAAGACATATGTGTGATTTGAGTGTAAAAATAAGAAGAGAGAGAGAAGGGGCAGAAAAACTACTTTTAAAAAATGATGGCTACATTTTTTGAAGTTTAATGAAAATCCTCACCCACTGATGCAAAAAGAACCTCAACAAAGCTGAAACAGGAACATACAAAGAAAACTATACCAAATACATCATAGTCAAATTGTAGGGAAATCAAAGATAAAAATAAAATTTTTAAAGAATCCAGAGGAAAAAATACTCATTACAGGGAAACAAACATAAGAAAAATTTCTGACTTCTGAGCAGAAAAAAATCCAGGCCAAAGACTATGAATAATATCTTTAAATTGCTGAGAGAGAAAAAAACAACACACTCTCACCTAAAAGTTTTTTATTTAGTAAAAATATACTTAAAAACTGAAGACAAAATAAAGACATATTCAGATAAACAAAAGTGGAGAAAATTCATAGCCAGCAAATTCACACTACATGAAACAGTAAAGGAAGTTCTTCAGACTGAAGAGAAATCATACCAGAGGGAAAGACACATCTACAGGAATAAATGAAGAACATAAGGAATGGTAAAATTGTGGGGAAATATAATGGACTACTTTTTTTCTTTAATGTCTTTAAAATAGAAAAATAATAAGGTATTATGGGGGTCAGTAATGTAGCAATATACACCAAATATTTAACAAAAGTTGTACAGAGGAAGGAGGGAAATAAATGAACATATACTATTTTAAGGCTCTCACACTAAAGATGAACTAGTATGATATCAGGTTACAATAGACTGTGAGAGGTTAGAACACATATTGTAAGGCCTTGGGCAACTACTAAAAAATAAATGAATAAAACAAATGGGCTGGCTTATTTCACTTAGCCTGATACTCTCCAAGTCCCTCCATGCTATCTCAAAGGGTAAGAGATTGTTCTTTTTTACTGCTGCACAGTATTCCATGGTATAAATGTACCACAGCTTTTTTAGCCACTCATCTACTGACGGGCACTTAAGGCCAAGGTGCTTTGTAAATACCAGGAACAGGCACTTGGCAAGTCCTGGGGCTTCACAGGATGCTTCCTGACCAAGATCATGGGCCATTAGTAGGTGAGACCCAAAACAATGGTAGAGGTTTGGGCAGTGAGTGGAGTGGGAGAGCTGTGTAAACAGATAGAACAGCATGGGAAAAGGCTGGGAGATAGTGTAACAGGGCAACCAAAGCATCTGGGCTGCCTGTCACTACTTGAGCCACTTTAGCAGAGACAGGGTTGAATCATATATGAGTGTTCATTCCTATAATGCCAGCAGTATGGGAGAGCAACAGGTCATCCACAAAAATCTGCTTTGCAGCCCCTATAAGCCAGCTGCTTATCTGTGGTAAAACAAAGATTACCTGGGGAAGTAGGGATTACAGGCATGGAGAAGTAGGAGGCTGGGGTGGGACTCCATTGTTTGGGCAACAAAGTTGTTAATCTTTCCATGATAATAGGCTGTTCTTGAATGAGAATAGATCACATTCCAAGGCTAACTCCCTGGTCCAAAACTGACTCCCAGGTCCAGGGACATACAACTCTTAGCCAGGTCAGAATGTCCTTTCTTGAACCAATACAAAGCCATCATGGTAAACAGAGCACAATTAATATTTCCCATAACCATAACTAATCCCCCAATATTCTATTCTCCCCTTCCCCTAACCATAGCAGCAGCCTCTGTCTCTCCTTTGATCTATTGACCTGCCTTTGACCTTCCTACACAGATTTCTTCCTAGGGCAGTGGTGTCCCTGGCTCTCTCAATCCTGGGAGAGAAAAGATAATTGGATCTCTTCACTAGCCGATGAAGCCCTCCTAGCGCCATACACCAGCTGCACTTACATTCCTAGGTTCTCCTTGACCCACCAGACACACATGTACCCTTGGAGACCGTCCTTCAAAACCCCATCAATACAGGATCTTAAAAGAAGAGTCTTTACATCCATTACCCGGTTACATACCAATAATAATATAGGGTTGCCAAAACCGGTTTGGCTCAGTGGATAGAGCGTCGGCCTGCGGACTGAAGGGTCCCGGGTTCGATTCCGGTCAAGGGCATGTACCTGGGTTGCAGGCACATCCCCAGTGGGAGATGTGCAGGAGGCAGCTGATCGATGTTTCTCTCTCATCGATGTTTCTAGCTCTCTGTCTCTCTCCCTTCCTCTCTGTGAAAAATCAATAAAATATATTGAAAAAAAATAATAATAATATAGGGCTATTCTTCAAAGGAGGGATTGGGACATTTTAGTGTTTAAATGATTGAAGTCGGTGTCTGTGGCAGATGGAATTTACACCCCTCTATCAAATAAACCACCCTAAATATCTATTCCTGACAAACGGCAAATCAAATTCCTCCCAGGGCACTAAGAGGACCCTCCCAAGGTGAGAGAGTTTCTCGGGTAGGAATCCAGAAAAGTGGAGAGTAGGGATCTAGCTGCTCTCAACATGTGAATGGAAGGCTGTCTGAATGGGCAGGGCCAGTCTCAGCCCATAGGAAAATTATGTTCATAGTGGGCAGATCCTGTGAACTTATTTTTTTTTTTTTAGGGCATCCATTCATCCAAGGAACTAGCAAGGTTAGTCACTTGAAAGTGAAGAACTGAGGTTAACTGAAAGTGAAGAACTTGAGTCCATCCTTGCTCACATGTAGGAGCCCATTCCTACCAGGGGCCTGAGAGATTTGGCAGAGGCTGGGTAAAGGCTGAGCATAGAAGAGATTTCCCTTATGGAGTTCAAGGTCAAGTCAACCTACAGTCAATAACTGCTCTAAACTATAATAAAATACCGCTCAACACTCCAAAGGATGGCTATATCATATTTTTTACAAAAGCATTTATAAAAATGTTTAAAAATTGGACCCCTCGTACATTGCTGGTGGAAATGTAACATAGCAAGACCATGTTGGAAAACGTTTTTGGCAGTTCCTCAACATGCTAAGCATAGAGTTACCAGATGACCCAGAAGTTCCACTTCTAGGTACATACCCAAAGAAATGGAAACATATTCACACAAAAACTTGTACACAATGTTCATAGCGGCGTTATTCAAAAGAGCCTCAAACTAGAAACAACCCAAATATTCATCAACTGATGAATGGGTAAACAAAATGTGGTATACCCATATACTAGAATATAGCATACATAAAACTTTAAAATGTTATGCTAAGTGAAAGAAGCCAGTCACAAAAGACCAGATATTATAACTGCATTTATGTGAAATGTCCCTCCCCCACTCCCGGTAGGCATATCCCTGGAGGCATATCCATACAGAATGCAGATTAGTGATTGCCTGAGGCTAGGGTGGGAGTACAGGGAGGGGGCACTGGGAAAGGGAGGCAACTGTTACTGGGTGTGGGTTTAAAGTCCTACAATTGGCTCCTCTCTGAGGGGGCGTGGCTAGGCCCTGGGAGGCGTGACGCTCAGGGCTGGATGAGCCAGCTTAAAGCCCGGTGGAGGCTCAGGGCCCCCGGCTGTGGTGGCTGTTACTCCTGGAGGCATGGAGGAGTGCTCTTGCCTCTGTGTCATGGGCTCTTCACGGGGATGTCGGTGTCGTCAGAAGCGCCAGCGCCCAGCTGAGATGGCAGCGCCCAATGGCAAGCGGTGTCGTCAGGAGTGCCAGGGCCGAGCTGAGAAGGCAGCAGCAGAGGGCAAGCGGGACCCGGCCCCCACAGAAAAGCACATGGAGGTGGACGCGTCAGCCGTGTGCTGTGCGGGGAGTGGAGGAATCGAGAGACCCATGCAGCCCCCGCACTGCTCACTGCAGGACCTGCCAGTGGAGATGCTGGTGGAGATCTTCGCCTCGCTCCCCGGCACAGATCTGCCCAGCCTGGCCCTGACCTGCACCAAATTCCACAACATCCTGCACATCGACAGCATCTGGAGATGGCGCTGCCGCGAGGAGTTTGGCATTTGTGAAAACTTGCAGAATCTGGAGATGATAGGTTTGTCTTATCGAGAAGTCTATGCGAAGCTGTTCCACCCATACAGACACATTTTGGGACTGTGGCAGCTAGATACTGAGGACTATAGAACACTGCTGAATGTCGTGGTGGACGGCTTATGCATTACTGGTTGGACATACGGGCCTTGGCTTAACACCTATGTGGATGGCCCAATACAATTCGAGCCTGCGTTCAGAATTCGCCTGACGGAGAGGAAATCAGCCACGGTGGAGTGCATGGAAGGCTGCCACAGCAGGCCCCACAACCGCCACATGCAGATTCAGAAGGACAGGTTCACCACCCAGTGCAGCAAGACAGACCACCTAAAGGATTTACCAAGGCAGCTTAGGGACCAATGGGGGCGGGTGCTGGTGCAGGAGGACAGACAGCAGTATGACTGCCTGGCCTACCGCCGCCTCTACCTCCCGCCGAGCCACCCAGATGACCTCATCAGGCCAGGCCTCTTCCAAGCCAACTGCAATCCCTATGGCCTATCGATTGCCATGCTCAGCTTCCATGGGAAGTATGCCAGGGTCACGAAGGTCACGGGAATAACCAAGATATTAGCGTTAGAGATCCACCTCATGCGCCGCATCCAGCTGCCAAATGGTGAGTTCTTCCGCAACTTCAACGAGCTCTCCCGCGTGGTCCAGGAGATTGACGAACAGGTAATCCGGGAGCAGCAGCAGCAGCAAGAAGACGGGACTGAGGACAGCGAGGGCCATGGCTGGCAGAGCTCTGCCCAGCAAAGTGTCAGAGAGTCCGGGGTTGCAGCTTCGGAGGAGCAGCCTGTTCCTTTTGTTCTGCCTGTGGGCGTGCACTCAAGAGACCACAACTACCCCGGAACCTGCAGGATGTGTTTCTATGGCGTGGACACTGCTACTTTTACTGTTAACTTATATGGCTTCACCGACACCAGGCGCTACCCTGGAGTCTTCATCCTGTTCGATGAGAACCACTTCGGGTTCATCTGGTCTGAGGTGAATTACTTCATCCTGTACCGCAGAGTCCAGAACACCTTCCAGAATGTGGAGGCACCATCCCCGCAGGCCTTCCTGGAGATGCTCAAGAACATTCAGTACCGACCCCCTGGGAGAAGCAGCTTGCATGCACTTTGAAGATTTGACCTTCTGACCAGGATACCCACCTTGGTTTGTTTTTTTAATCCTCACCCGGGGATATTTTCCCATTGATATGTAGAGAGAGTGGGGGAGAGAAGGAAAGACAGGAATATTGATGTGAGAGAAACACATCAGTTGGTTGCCTCCTGCCCAAGCCCAGACCAGGGCCAGGCTGGGTAGGAGCCAGCAAATGAGGTAGAAATAAACCTTAGACCAGTGGTCTCAACCTTCCTAATGCCAAGACCCTTTAATACAGTTCCTGATTTTGTGGTGACCCCCAATTTCATTGTTACAAATTGAACATAATTAAAGCATAGTGATTAATCACAAAAACAATATGTAATTATATATGTGTTTTCCCATGGTCTCAACCTGTGAAAGGGTCGTTCGATCCCCACCCCCACCCACAGGGGTCATGACCCACAGGTTGAGAACCGCTACCTTAGATCTTTCCATCTGCAGGTCCAGGCTCTATCCACTGAGCCAAACCAGCTAGGGTTGAGCATGTCTTCTTAACAAGAAAGAAAGAAAAAAGAAAGAGCCTAAAATTAGATAGTGGAAAATGTTAGATTGTACAACTCTGAATGTAATAAAAACCACTGAACTGTACATTTTAAAATGGTGGGTTTTATAGTATGTGAATTATATCTCAATAAAGCTGTTATTAAAAATAAAAAAATAAAAAACAAACGGGCTAACAAAAGTAGAGAAAACAAAATAGGACAATAAAAATACTGATTATTCTAAAATAGGCTAGAAACATAGGAACAAAGAACATTGAAAACAAATAGAAAATAAATCGCAAAATGGTAGATTTAAACTCTGCAATATGAATAATTGCATTAAATATAAATGTGTACATATAATAATTAAAAAACATGGACTTTCAAACTGGATAAAAGGGGAAATAGAACTATAAAAGATGCCGGGAGCTGGTCCATCCTTGCTGCTTGACACAGTCGCTGCAGAGAAGAAACATCTGCACAGCATATGTTTCAAGGGCGTATATGGCATACTGTTCTTAATATGTTTGCTCCCCTTCTTGGTGCTATGTGTTTTAACCAAGGTCACCTCTCCAAGAAAGGTTGTTTCCCCAGGTACGGATTTTCCCCTTAAGTTAGGGAGGGAATAAAACCCGTTAACTAAGTGCCAGGTGGGTAGTTAATCACTTTAACTAAGAACAATCACGCTTAAGCTATATAATCTTTACTCCCTGGAATGGAGATAAGAAATGCCCTAACCTTTGGAATAGAAATTGATAGGATTAAAATCAACTGGTATAAATACAGATGTAACAAGACAACAGAAGACAGAACCTAGAAAACAGAACCTAGTGAGAGAACATGGCAAAAGATCCTGGACAGAACCTGTCTACAGAACTTGGCTGGAGAACCTAGACAACATGGCGAAAGAACCTGGATAGAACCTGGCAAGAGAACCTGACTAGAACCTGGTGACTGAACCTGGCTAGAGAACCTGGACAGAACCTGGCTGGAGAATCTAGCGAGGGAACATGGCTACAGAACCTGGCTGGAGAACCTAGAAAGAGAACATGGACACAGAACCTGCCTGGAGATCCTGACCAGAACTTGGCTAGAGATCCTGGCTAGGCTGCTGATCAACTTAAGGCTGTCTCCGTGTCATTCCTTCTTCGCCGACTCCGTCCACACCTTTGGGGACCCCTGGACCTGCTGGGGTTGGACCCCAGCAAAAAGACAGAGTTAAATATAAAGATACAGGTAGTGGAAGGGGAAAGGACTAAAGAACATACACCATGCAAATGTAAACATGCAAAAGCTTGTTTGGCTATATTAGTATCAGACAAAATGAAATTTAAAGCAAGGATATTACAGGAAATTAGAAAAAGATATTTGATAATGATAAATTTGTCAATTCATAAAAAGACATAGCAAAATTTAACAAGTATGTACCCAACAACAGAGCTTCAAATATATGGAGTCAAACCTGATCCAAATAGAAGGAAAAATGGAGAAACACATGATTATAGTTGGAGAAGTAGACAGGAAAGCAGTAAGGATATGGAAAACTGAAATAGCTCTATCAATCACTTTGACCTATGTGACATTAGTAGAATATGTCACCCAACCAGAGCAGAGAATATACATTCTTTTCCAATACATATAGGACATTCATCAATGTGAATCATACAAACTATATCAAGTCTTTGTACTTTTGTTTCAAAGAAACAAAATTATACACAATATGCTTTCTCATCGTAGTGAAATATAAAGCAAAGAAATAACACCACAATTTTTTCTTTGAAAATATTAATTGGTAAGCCTGTGGAAAGACAAATTTTTAAAAAAGAAATGTGCTATCAAGCTACAAAAAAAACATGGAAGAACCTTAAATGCATATTGCTAAGTGAAATAAACCAATCTGAAAAGACTACATACTTAATGACTCCAAATATATGACATCCTGGAAAAAGCAAAACAATAGAGGTAGTAGAAAGGTCAGTGATTGCCAGGTGTTTAGAGGAAGGAAAGGAGATGAATAGGTGGAACACAGGAAAATTTTAGGGCAGTGAAACTACACTGTATGGTACCTTCAGGGTGGATATGGATCATTACACATTTGTCAAAACCATAGAAAGTACAATACATAGAGTGAGCCCTAATGTAAACTGTGAACTTTAGTCAATAATAATGTATCAATATTAGCTCATCATTGTTAACAGGGGAATGACGTTCCTGCAAGCTGTTAATACTTGTGGGAAACTGGAAGGAGTATATAGGAACTCTTTACTTAACACTAATTTTTTATTAAACCTAAAACTTCTCAAAAATAAAGTCTAGTCCTAGCAGGTTTGGCTCAATGGATAGAGTGTTGGCCTGTGAACTGAAAGGTCCCAGGTTCAATTCCTGTCAAGGGCACATACCCAGATTGCAGGCTCCATCCCCAGTAGGAGGTGTGCAGGAGGCAAATAATCAATGATTCTCTATCATCATTGATGTTTCTAGCTCTCTCTCCCTCTCCCTTACTCTCTGAAATCAATAAAAAAATAAAGTCTATTTTTAAACAGTAAAGATAAAACACAAATTACTAATATCATGAGAAAAAGAAGAAATATGATTACAAGTTTTATACATATTTAAAATAATAAGGGAATAGTATGAAAACTTTATGCCACTAAAATTGACAGCATACATAAAATGGGCAAATTCCTTAAAAGATACAAATTACTGGAGCTAAAACAAGAAGAAATGGAAACTATAAATAGCCCTGTATCAGTTAAGGAACTGGGATCTATAATTCAAAGCCTTCCCAGATGGCTTTATATATTCTATCAAATCTTTTTTAAATAAACATTACCAATATTACAGAAAATATTTCCAAAAATAGAAAGTGAAAGAACACTTTTCAGCTTCTTTAATATGGTTGCATAACTCTGAATTTATAAGATGAAAAAAGGCATTACAAGAAAAAAAATTACTGGCCAAAAATTTGAAGAAAATATTAGTAAATAATATCCAGTATTAAAGGACTTAAATGTACGACAGGAAACCATAAAAATTCTAGAAGAATCCAAAGGCAACAAAATCTCAGACATATGCCAAAGCAATTTCTTCACTGATACAGCTCCTAGGGCACTTGAAACTAAAGAGAAAATGAACAAATGGGACTACATCAAAATAAAAAGCTTCTGCACAGCAAAAGAAACCATCAACAAAACAACAAGAAAACCCACTGCGTGGGAAAACATATTTGCCAACGTCATATCTGATAAGGGCCTAATCTCCAAAATTTATAGGGAACTCATACAACTTAACAAAAAGAAGATAAACAATCCAATCAATAAATGGGCAAAGGATCTAAATAGACACCTTTCAAAAGAGGACATTCAGAAAGCCAAGAGACATATGAAAACATGCTCAAAGTCACTAATCATCCGAGAGATGCAAATCAAAACAACAATGAGGTACCATCTCACACCTGTCAGAATGGCTATCATCAACAAATCAACAAACGACAAGTGCTGGAGAGGACGTGGAGAAAAAGGAACACTCGTGCACTGCTGGTGGGAATGCAGACTGGTGCAGCCACTATGGAAGACAGTATGGAGTTTCCTCAAAAAACAAAAAATGGAACTCCCATTTGACCCTGTGATCCCACTTCTAGGAATATATCCCAAGAAACCAGAAACACCAATCAGAAAGGATATGTGCACCCATATGTTCATAGCAGCACAATTCACCATAGCTAAGATCTGGAAACAGCCTAAGTGCCCATCAGTAGATGAATGGATTAGAAAACTGTGGTACATCTACATGATGGAATACTATGCTGCTGGAAAAAAGAAGGAACTCTTACCATTTGCAACAGCATGGATGGAACTGGAGAGCATTATGCTAAGTGAAATAAGCCAGTCAATGAAGGAAAAATACCACATGATCTCACTCACTCATGGATAATTAAGACCATTACAAACTTTTGAACAATAATAGATACAGAGGCAGAGCTGCCTCAAACTGATTGTCAAACTGTAGTGGGAAGGCCAGGGAGGGTTGGGGGGCATGAGGGAGGGGGGTAAGAGATCAACCGAAGGACTTGTATGCATGCATATAAGCATAACTAATGGACATAAGACACTGGGGGGGTAAGGGAGGGCAGGAGATTGCCAGGGGGGGGGGGGGGCGGGGAGGACACCTATGTAATACCCTTTGTAATACTTTTAGCAAAAAAAATAAATAAATAAATAAATAAATAAATAAATAAATAAATAATAATATCCAGTAACATTTGATCATATGGAATTTGTACCCAGGAATGTAAAGTTGGTTTAACACTCAAAAACCAATCAACTCAATTAATCACAGTAAGAAAATAAAGGAGAAAAACCAAATGATCATCTCAATAGTTACAAAAAAATTAACTTGACATAATTCAACAGCAGCAAACACAATTCAACTCATTAAAGCAGCAATAGAGATTTCTCAAGCTGATAGAGGTCATCTATATTAAAAAAAAAAAAAAAAATAGAGACTGCTGAGACCGTCCGCCGCCCGCACAGGCCACTAGACTTCGCCGCTCGTCCGCCTTCGCCAACCCACACCGCCTCCTGCTCGCCATGGATGACGATATTGCTGCGCTAGTGGTCGACAACGGCTCCGGCATGTGCAAAGCCGGCTTCGCTGGGGACGATGCCCTCAGGGCAGTCTTCCCCTCCATCGTGGGGCGCCCCCGGCACCAGGGTGTGATGGTGGGCATGGGCCAGGACTCCTATGTGGGTGATGAGGCCCAGAGCAAGAGAGGCACCCTGACCCTGAAGTACCCCTTTGAGCACGGCATCATCACCAACTGGGACAACATAGAGAACATCTGGCATCACACTTTCTACAACGAGCTGCGTGTGGCCCCCGAGGAGCACCCTGTCCTGCTCACCGAGGCCCCTCTGAACCCTAAGGCCAACCGTGAGAAGATGACCCAGATCATGTTCGAGACCTTCAACACCCCCGCCATGTACGTGGCCATCCAGGCCGTGCTGTCTCTATACGCTTCTGGCCGTACCACTGGCATCGTGATGGACTCCAGAGACGGGATCACCCACACGGTGCCCATCTACGAGGGCTACGCCCTCCCCCACGCCATCCTGCGTCTGGACCTGGCTGGCCGGGACCTGACAAACTACCTCATGAAGATCCTCACCGAGCGTGGGTACAGCTTCACCACCACAGCCGAGCGGGAAATCGTGCGTGACATCAAGGAGAAGCTGTGCTACGTCGCCCTGGACTTCGAGCAAGAGATGGCCACCGCAGCCTCCAGCTCCTCCCTGGAGAAGAGCTACGAGCTGCCCGACGGGCAGGTCATCACCATCGGCAACGAGCGCTTCCCCTGCCCAGAGGCCCTCTTCCAGCCCTCCTTCCTGGGCATGGAATCCTGTGGCATCCATGAAACTACCTTTAACTCCATCATGAAGTGTGACGTCGACATCCGTAAGGACCTGTACGCCAACACGGTGCTGTCTGGTGGAACCACCATGTACCCAGGCATCGCCGACAGGATGCAGAAGGAGATCACTGCTTTGGCTCCCAGCACGATGAAGATCAAGATCATCGCGCCCCCTGAGCGCAAGTACTCTGTGTGGATCGGCGGCTCCATCCTGGTCTCGCTGTCCACCTTCCAGCAGATGTGTATCAGCAAGCAGGAGTATGAGGAGTCCGGCCCCTCCATCATCCACCACAAATGCTTCTAGGCGGACTGTTACTTAGTTGGTTACACCCTTTCTTGACAAAACCTAACTTGCACAGAAAACAAGATGAGATTGGCATGGCTTTGTTTTTTTTGTTTTTGTTTTTTTTTTTATCTTTTTTGGGGGGCGCTTGACTCAGGATTTAAAAACTGGAACGGTGAAGGTGACAGCAGTCTGTTGAAGCGAGCATCCCCAAAGTTCTACAATGTGGCCGAGGACTTTGGTTGTACATTTTTCTTTTTTTAATAGTCATTCCAAATACGAGATGCATTGTTACAGGAAGTCCCTTGCCTGCCCCAGGGCCGCCCACTTCTCCCTAAGAAGGGCTAGTCCTCGCCCGAGTCCACACCGGGAGGGTGATAGCACTGCTTTTGTGTAAATTTTGTAACCCAAATTTTTTAATCTTCGCCTTAATACCTGTTTCTTTTGTTTTATTTTGAATGGCCAGCCATCGTGGCCCCCCTTTTTGTCCCCAACTTGAGATGTATGAAGGCTTTTGGTCCCCCGGGGAGTGGGTTGAGGTGTGGAGGCGGCCAATCAGGGCTTACCTGTACACTGACGAGACCAGTTCAATAAAGTGCACACCTTAAAGGAAAAAAAAATAGAGCTATTTAATGGTGAAAAACTGAATACTTTCCCTCTCAGATCAGAACAAGACAAGAATGTTCTCACCACTACTGTTCCGCATTGTATAGGAGGTACGAGCAAGTGCAGCCAGGCAAGAAAAATAAATGAAAACATCAGATTGTAAACAAGGACATAAGCCAGTATTTATTCACAAACAACATGATTATTTGTAGAAAATCTTAAGGAATCCACATATCAAAAAAGACTACAAGCATAACTGAGTTTAGCAATTATGTTTACTAGTAAAAGGTCAGCATGCAAAAATGTATTGAATTTCTATATACTAGAAATTAAAAATTAAACTGGAAAAGAATGCTCTTAATAATAGTACCCATGATATTAAATGCAAATATTTACATTTAGATTACCAAATATGTGCAAGACCTGAACATTGAAAATTACAAAATATTGAAAGAAATTAAAGATAACAAATAAATGGAAAAATATATATCATGTTCAAGAATTGAACGTTTTAATGGTAAGATGTTATGTTCATATATTATGTATATATATATGAAGTCCTAACCCCCTATACCTCAGAATGTGACCCTATTTGGAGATAGAGCATTTAAAGAGGTAATTAGGTGGGCGAGCTGGTTTGGCTCAGTGGATGGAGCGTTGGCCTGCAGACTGAAGGGTCCCGGGTTTGATTCAGGTCAAGGGCATATACCTTGGTTGTGGGCACATCCCCAGTGGGGAGTGTGCAGGAGGCAGCTAAATTGATGTTTCTCTCTCATCAATGTTTCTAACTCTCTGTCCCTCTCCCTTTCTCTCTGTAAAAAATCAATAAAATATTTTTTTCTAAAAATAAAAAATAAAGAGGTAATTAGGTAAAATAAAGTCATATGGGTGGGCCATAATATAATACAATAGGTGTCTTTATAAAAAGGAGAAATCTGGACACAGACAGCACACCAACCCAGAGGTGACTATGTCAGGACATGAGAAGGCAGCCATATATAAGCCTAGTAAAGAGACCTAAGAAAATGACCCATTGAGGAAAAACCAAGATGGCGGCATAGGTAAACACCAGAAATTGCTGCCTCCCACAAGAAATTCAAAAATACAACTAAAAGACAAAACGGACATCCTCCAGAACTACAGGAAGGCTGGCTGAGTGGAAATTCTACAACTAGAAGGAAAGAGAAAAGCACACTGAGACTCAAAGGAACTGCGGAGGTGGAATGCAGAGGTACGGAGGCGCACGCGGCATGGGCTGTCGACTGAGGACGAGGCTGTCTTTTTGAATCGGGAGGGAGTCACAAGCCCCCGACTGCTCTGAACTCCAGTTCCGGGAAGTCTCTGGGGACCTGGACTCATGCGGGGAGAGACTGGACAGTCTGGCAGCAGGCAGAACTCAGAACTCGAGGGCGGCTTTCTCTTGGAGGTGCTTGCAGCAGTTACCAGGACACTGAGACCCGGGGCCTCTTAGGGCAGGGCTGAGGATCAGCCATAGCTGCTTGCTCCGCCCTGTTGATCCCCTGAGACCCCGCCTCACCCAAGCTGCAACACAGGCTTTTGCATATGAATGCCCGGGCCCTTTGCAATCTAAAAATTACCTAACAAACTGAAGCTGGGCCAGACAGACCCAGAACTTCCAAGAGAAGGCCCAAGACCCCACAGCAGCTTGCATTGCTTCAAAGCTGGGCCTCATTTGGGCACCTCCAAAACCCAAACAAGGAAGGGGAATCTGCAGATCTCTTCTTAGCTCTTGCTGGGTAGCCTCAGGAAGAGGCTAAATTAGCACCTCCTTAGACCAAAGAGCCAGTGTACCCAGTGGTCAGAGTGGGACCATCCAGATTACAACTTCTCAGATCCATAAGGGACATACTCAGGGAGCAGACTCAGTGAGCACCAAAGCCCCACTGAACCAAGTCTTGCCCCAGAAGGGTGTCTCCAGTACAGAAGTTCTCCCACCATAGACACAGCTGATTCTCACAGACAATTTCCTGGAGGTCAATTCCTCCCAGTGATACCTACAACAATCAAGGCTTAACTACAACAAGACTGCGCACAAAGCTCACAAAGGGATGCACCAAGAGTGTCCACCTCAGGTAATTGGGGAGGCTGAGCCACTGGGGCCTATAGGACACCTAGCACACAAAGCCACTCTACCAACACAGGGAAGCATAAAAAATGCAGAGACAAAGAAACAGGACACAAATGACAGAAATGGAGGACAGCAAACTACTGGATATAGAGTTCAAAACCACACTTTTAAGGTTTTTCAAGAACTTTCTAGAAACCGCTAATAAATTTAGTAAGACCCTCAAAAAGTCTGGTGAGACCGCCGATAAATGTAGTGAGACCCTCAAGAAATCTAGTGAGACCCTCGAGGTTATGAAAAAGGACCAACTAGAAATTAAGCATACACTGACTGAAATAAAGGATATTATGCAGAGTTCTAACAACAGACTAGAGGATCGCAAGAATCAAGTCAAAGATTTGAAATACAAAGAAGCAAAAAACACCCAACCAGAAAAGCAAAATGAAAAAAGAATCCAAAAATACGAAGATAGTGTAAGGAGCCTCTGGGACAGCTTCAAGCGCACCAACATCCGAATTATAGGGGTGCCAGAAGAAGAGAGAGAGCAAGATATTGGAAACCTATTTGAAGAAATAATGACAGAAAACTTCCCCTATCTGGTGAAACAAATAGACTTACAAGTCCAGGAAGCATAGAGAACCCCAAACAGAAGGAATCCAAAGAGGACCACACCAAGACACATCATAATTAAAATGCCAAGAGCAAAAGACAAAGAGAGAATCTTAAAAGCAGCAAGAGAAAGACAGTCAGTTACGTACAAGGGAGTACACATACGACTGTGAACTGATTTCTGAACAGAAACTTTGCAGGCCAGAAGGGAGAGGCAAGAAATATTCAAAGTGATGAATAGCAAGAACCTACAACCAAGATTAGTTTACTCAGCAAAGCTATCATTCAGAATTGAAGGTCAGATAAAGAGCTTCACAGATAAGGAAAAGCTAAAGGAGTTCATCACCACCAAACCAGTATTATATGAAATGCTGAAAGGTATCCTTTAAGAAGAGGAAGAAGAAGAAAAAGGTAAAGATACAAATTATGAACAACAAATACACATCTATCAAGTGAATCTAAAAATCAAGTGAATATATAATCTGATGAACAGAATAAACTGGTGATTATAATAGAATCAGGGGCATAGAAAGGGAGTGGACTGAGTATTCTTGGGGGGAAAGGGGCGTGGGGGATGCGGGAAGAGACTGGACAAAAATCGTACACCTATGGATGAGGACAGTGGTGGGGGCGGTGAGGGCGGAGGTGGGGTGGGAACCGGTGGAGGGGAGCTATGGGGGGGAAAAAGGAACAACTGTAATAATCTGAACAATAAAGATTTAATTTAAAAGAAAAAAAATGACCCATTAATAATTATTTATTAAAGATAAATTCAAATTCCATAAAAAGACTATGAAAGAATGTTCATAATGCCTTTATTTATGATAGTCCTAAACTGGAAATAACCAAATTACTTATCAAATATGAATAAACACAATGTCACATGTTTACACAGTTATTACTCTGCAATGAAACAAACTCTTAATGCACTTAAAATTTGTACACCTAACTGCATGTAAATTGTACCTCAATGAAGTTAAAATATTTATTACAGCAGAAGGTGAGAATTATTTAGAAAAAAAATAAATCAGAGAGGAAATGGAGAATGCAGCAGGTAGTGGGTTTCTATTTTACATGGGATGATCTGAAGTCCCCTTCTGGATGGCATTTGTAGAAGAAACTTGAAAGAAATGATTAATGGAGGGAAGGGTGTTCCCTGAGACAGAGGAATCAGAATGTGCAAAGACAGACTTTGAGGCAAAAGTCTTCCTCAAGCAGAAGCAAACAGGCCAGTGTGGCTCAAGCGACAGTCCAGTGGTGTATGTTAAGAGATGAGGTCTAAGGGGACAGGGGTTCAGATCACATAGGTCTTGTAAGACATTGTAACGACTCAGGGTTTCGCTCTGAGTGAGGAGTGCAAGGTCCTTTAGAACGCCCCTGTGATAAGAATAAACTCATGGCACGAAACAAGCAAGGGCAAAAGCAGAGATGGGCTAGAATATTGTCTTGATGGCTTGGACAAAAGTAGTAGCAGTGAAAAGTGGTCACAGTCTGGATATATTTTGAAAGTAGAGACAACAGGTTTTTCTAGTGGATTGAATGTGGGATCTGAGTGGAAAAAAAAGTGAAGAATAAGTGAGTTTTTAGCCAGAGCCCTATTAGAATTAGACCCCAGGCGGTGCTGCTCCAGAGCTAGCTAGTACTTATAGTTGGTTTCCTCCCCCAAAACCTGCTGATAAATATTACTGATGCCTCTAATCCAGCTCAGCAAGCTGACAGGATCTACCCTTTAAGAATCATCCAGCCCACCTGAGAT